ATGCTTAATTGGAAATCATTTAAGATTTTCAAAAATTTATATAGAACAAAATGGTTTTTAAAAATTAAGCTTGATTTTTTTTTTCATGTTTTACTTTATTTATAGGGGCAGGTCATGATTAATCTATTTAAAACAATTATTAACATACAAGAAGCTCAATATTTTAAAATTCAATTATTTAAATGTATTTCGTACGTTATGAACAACTATTTATAAAAAATTTCAACTTGTTATAGAATATTAATATCATATTGTACCTAAAACTATTGTTCAAACTGGAGACCATTTGCTCGAATGCAAAACCCTCACATTTTTCTTATTTTTTTAATGGCATCTAAAAGAATTATTGGTCTCCTTCGTAGAGTTTCAATTGAACCTGCTGCAAAAGTTCTGCTACGTATCGTGTTTTGTATATTTTATTTTGCGTATATCCACAATAAAAAAAGAAATATAAATCTGAAAGATCCGGAGGTCGTGGAAGTCACCTTACTGGACCGTTGGTAGCTATCCATTTTTGGGGGTATGTCGCTTGACATTTCTGTTGATCTTGCCTGTCAAGTTTTTGGAAATCTCCTCAAAGTCCACACAAAGAAGGGGTTCAAGCAAAGAAAAAAAAAACCTGAAAATCAGTCTAATTTTAGTAGTTTCGTAATGCGAACACCCTCAGCTGAAAAGGCAAAGATTGACAACCAAATAGCAAAAGCCATCAAGACAAACGTTATCAACAAGCCTTTGAGACAGCTGACATCTATGAGGACGAAAAGGCAAAACGTTTTTCTTCTCTATCGGTTATATGTACAACAATAACCACTGAAGATGGACAAGCGCTTCACGAAACTATCGAGACTTCGGAAAAACCTCATACTCCACAATATTTGTTTTTAAGTGGTTTGTGACCTAATTTCTTCATGCAAATCACAATATGACGGGATAAAATCTTTAGTAACTCAAAAGTTATAATTTATTGCTGCCCTGAACATGGTGCGAAATTCTTGAGTCCTTCCAAGTGATGTGCGTTGCTGATTGTTTAAAGATGTGCGTTAATCAGTGGGATATATCATTAAAAATCTGTGAGGAAAACAAAAACGATATTCGACCTTTTACCAATTGGTGATTTGAATCATGATTTTAAGTTTAAAAATAAATCAAGTGATTTAAACCAGTTTTTAGTAGCGCATTTGATGGTGCGTAATCTCTCTATCCCCTTGCCCCCTTCTACCTCTCTCTTTCTCGAGCAAAAGTTTCGCATCTCTCCCCGCTAGAAAGCTATGGGTTATCCTCGTAGTTCTCGTGCAACGCAGAATAATAAATGTGTTATTAAATATCCGGACTGTGTAATTGGGTAAAATAAAAGAACCGACGGCGGAATAACACGGTGTGCGGGAGAATATCCCGACAAGACAAGTCGCTTTCATAGATTCGTAGATAAAACAAAAGCGGTTTGAAGATATGTTACTCGCGTATAAACTTGCGTTCATAGAAATCGGCCCATTGTGACCTTTTGGATCAGGTAAAAAAAATGCTGTTTAAAAGACAATATTTTAATACGAGTTTAAATTGATTAAAATTTATTTCTCCTTTTTATCATCACTTATTTTTTAATATTCGGGATGATGGTTCTTTAATTATGTATCTTCTATGAAAGCATTTAAGTCTTCGTTAATGGTATATGGTTGTATATCTCGTAGGTTACGTGGGCAATAATAATAATTAACACCAAATTTGCGAATCAAATTGTTTCTCAAACATAAAAATGAATACAAATTACAATAAAAGAAGAGCTGATAACAAAAACGACTATTCTGAAAGGGGACGCCATTCATTGTCTTAGGTAAACTAATATTTCTTCTGTGCAGTTGATGAAGCAGTGTTACGTTTTACACCACATAGGTAAAATTTTCATTCTTCAACGGGCTACCCCAGAGCAACCAGAGCAAATTCAAATCTCTACGATAAGGTAAATCGACCGTCTTTGAGAGCGGCTTCTCCAGTGGAGGGAACTGAAGAATTTACTATGATAATGATAATATACAATGATTTGCAAAAATTCAAGAGGTGTGACGTGGAGGGCTGAGCAGGCCTTTAAAACTTAAATTTAAGTTGTGAACGTCCGTGCGCAAGCTGATTTTTTTGAAAAGATGGCGTGGAAACTTCAATCTTATAATTTTGTGATAAAAATTACATTTATGGAGATATCGTCGATTTTTCACATTAAGCCATCGGACGTCCTTCACTTTATGACTAACAGGCCTGCCGCGTTGAATCTCAGAAATGAATCTTAGACAGTATTTCTGTTTTTTTTGAATCCGTTCTGAGGCAGCCGCTGTCAGAGATGGGTCATAGATGACTTGGGAAATTTTGGTGCTTCCCTCGTACCACTAGAACTTGCCTCTCGAGTAACTTTATAAAAATGACGAAATTTAGCGAAAGTAAAAAAAGATTAACTTTCACCGAGTTGAGTGCATCGGGTAATTATAAAATTAATTATTTTTAATGTGCGTTATTGCGTAATTGCGCTTCAATTTCATTACGGTCGTTTGTTTGGGAACACCACCAATGGTGGAACGTTCAAATGGTCGAAAATCCCGAACGGCGTTCGGTCCCGTTTCGCAAAGTCTCAAGGGATCTCGATGTAGCAGACGGTCCAATAGCAGACTTTGTAGTTTGACAGTCGATACTAGATAAGTGTAATCCGAATAAGAATTAGGATAACGGTGCTGGTGTTAAAGATCCGCACAGGACACATGATTTTCTATGCATACGACCAATTGTTTCCAAAAAATATAGGTTAATTTTATCGAAGGGTGCTGCAACCCGCATTCAAAAGAATATTTTGTTGTTATTATCGCCCCCTATTTATTACCACCGGCTAAGATAAAAGTTGACGTCTTTCAAATCAAATTTATGAATGACAACGTTCAAAACACAAATCATTTTTTAGCAAAATAGGTAGGGTTTACACCTGATGATGGGAATAAAACTTATTATAAGCTGACTGAATTGAAACAAACAAAAGAAAAATTTTCAGCTCAAGCATTTTAATAATGATTCCCCAAACGTATTTCCGCTATAATTTTTTCCCATCAACATTTCCTTGTATTTAACGTACATTCCACAGTGTCTTGTCCAAGTAAAAGCCTATAATAATAACATTTTTGATTTTTATGACGAAGGTAACCTCTACCATTATATACCTCATTAGGAGTTACCAGTCATTTTTTTAATAAACGTCAAATATATTTATTTAAGACTTCAACAATCATCAAGAAAGGTCAGACACCTACTGGGAATCCCAGAACAAAATAAAAAAATATATTTGATGAAGGGTGGGTCCAACAAATTGGCTAATATCCTTTCATACAGGGGCATGCGAGAAAAATGGCTCATGCCAAGCTTTTGTGGCAAACTGTATAACCAAACTATTATCTAGGTCACTCGCTTGCTCCCAGGACTCTAGTCAAGTCTTTCAGTTCTACAGGTACATTCGATTGCCTCCACCTCTGCCTAGAGATACATACTGAGTTGAAGGAAGTAAGGCACCTTCGGCATTTCTAAAATTACATTACAATAATTGAAATTTATTACTACTTATATAGTTTCAGTCGTACAGTGTAATGTACTACACATTTCTACAAATAATTTTATTACTAATAACTTCTTTACCTTGTCGCAAGTCTCTTGCATATATTCTTTCGGTTTCCTTTCTGACACATGCTTGCAACTCATGTCTTCTATTTGGTCCTTCAAGTGCTCATGATTATGTTGTTCCTTCCTTTAGATGAATATAAAATTCTCTTCAACTTTTCCTGATTCTTGATATTTTGTTTCTGTGCTTCTGAGATATCTTTTTGCAATAACTCGAATATACATATATTTATTAACGTTTAAACCTATACAGGGTTGAATAATGTTATAAAATACGACGTTTTTGCACTAAACGTGCAAAATGCCTTTCTTGTGACCTATTATAAAATATCAAATCAATTTTGCCTGGTTCCGTTACACCTTCTGCGTGGATAATACATAAAGTCGTCGTGAAAAACTATTTGTTAAGGGGTTCTGTTCTTGTTCCGCATTACCCTATAATTTATTATTTATTTATTTATTTATTTATTTAGCACTTGGCTATTTACATAAGCAAGTAAAATTCACATAAACAAAACTATAAACTTCGCAAATACCCCGTAAGTCTCTTCTTGAACACTCTTGGGCAAGGCGCGCCCTTAATATTATCCGGCAGTTCATTAAAATTACAAACACCATCGTAGAATAGAGTTTTCTGTAAATTTGTTGTTTTTACCATAGAAACATTGAAGTGCTGATTGGAACGTATATTGATAAAAGTTTGACCTTTTTTCCAACCATAATTTAAGATCGCCTGGATGGTGATCGTGCACAATTCCATAAACCAACATTAAACTTGCTCTTCTAATGAAGTGCCCGACATTTAGCCAATTTAGCTGGTCTAACATACTCTTTATATCTATCACAGTTCAGGATGATTCTCATAACCCTATTTTGTTGTAACTGTAACTTATGTAAATGTTCTTTTGTAATGTACTTTTGTAATCATATTGCTTATTGAATAAATTTAAAAATCATTGATAATTTTAGCTGTGAGAACAATTGGGCACGCGTTTTTATTAACCTTTCATGATTCGTGATAATCGCCGTATGCGATTTCCGAGTAAAATGCAAAAATACAATTTTACTATGACCGCAATGATTTATTTAAATCAATTGGGAACCTTTAAACAAACAATATTTCTGATAGGTTTGCTTCTTCGTTTAATTAAAATCCAACTGAACCTTATAAGCTGAATCACTGTAAATGTTAACAGATGTATTTTAAAAACATTGTAATGCAAACAAATCGTAATTATTCTCTATCGAGGAAAATTCTTTCTCCTCGGAAACGCTTTGCCGGCCTCCCTCCCGATACGATTTGGACAAATACGGCCATTTCATTCGACCATTTGCTACCATCTCGTTTGTTTCAGCGCACGCATGGCTCGGGCTTTTTCGAGCTTCAAGTGCTCGAGATGGCTAATCCTCGCAGCGAACTGTCCGCCGGACAATGCTGCGGCAGTGGACAACGTTCCCCCATCACCAACCGATGTTCCTCCCCTTGCCAAACGTTTTTCCGTCTGTGCCTCAAAGAGTACCAGAGCAACGTCACCAGTACGGGTTCGTGTTCTTTCGGGAATTCGTCGAGCCAGGTGCTCGGCAGAGATACTTTCACCCTGTCAGATCCGGACAGAGGCAAGCTGGTGTTGCCGTTTACGTTTCGATGGACGGTAAGTACCATCCGTACCATAGAATACGAAAAATAACGGTTAACATATAAAGGATGTTGCAGAACGGTCGGTCGATACATTTTCTTTTGGTAGAAATAATAAATAATATACGTGGAAGTTAAAATTCATAATTATAAATATATCCATTCGTTGTTATTTATTTTATGTTGCGATAGATATAAATTTGTCGAATTGTCGATTTTTCGCTCGTATAGCGGTAATGGAATGAGAATGATCAGCGTCAAATTTTTTTTTTCTGTCCGTTCTCCGTTCTCGTCTTTTGGTTTTTCCTGAATAACTTGTGAACCGTTTGAGCTACAAAATTGAAATTTGCCTCCTTTTCAACCCTCCACGAGGTACATAAGCTTATCAAAAATGGTCTCGATTCGACTCCGGCATCCATCTTTTTTTCGCGATTTTCGACTGTTTTTTGGACATTGCTATGAAACACGATAAGTGCACGAAATTTGAAGCAGTCGACTTCATATTTGGCACATATATACAGCTTTGCCCCGTGACGGAACTTACTGAAAATGGGGGTGCCGGGGGGTCGGGAAGTATTTAAAAAAAATTAAAAATCGCGTTAGCAAGGGTCTACAAAAAAGATCAGTTTACGAGACCAAAAAAATGCTTGAACCACAACACGCAAAAGATACGGCTCCATAAACTTTTGTTTTTGACAATTTTTCAGAAATATACAGGGTGAGCCGCAGATTTAGAAAAACTGAAAAATGGGTCCCCCTATTACTGGAACACTATGATTCAGATGTCACTTTCTTTTTCATTACGATATAGCCCGTATAGACAGCTAAAACTTTTGTATTATACAGGATGTTCCAGACATTCCGTCCTATATAAGAAATGTGTTGAGTGTCCTAAATTTGCAGATACCAACTTCAAATTTAACAACGAAATAAAGGTCCGCGTCCGCGATTCAGTCAAATTTCGCCAAGCATTTTTTCAAAATTTTGATTTTCTTTTGGTTATTTTGGGGTCCAGAAAAAAAATATTTCCTCAAAAACTATTAACCTGGTCGACAAAATTATTTTTTTTCGATTATTTACAGGGTTTGCAATTGTAGGCAAAAATTAAAATTGTCCTTTTCCATTGCCGTAAATCAAAATTTCTAGAATATATGGCTCATTGGTTTACACGGTATTATAGGGTGCAAAAAATTTTATATTTCCTCTCACTTACTCTCACTTACTCTCTTATAAAACATCATATACCAGGAAACGTGTTGTTTGAATTATATACAGGTTGTGTCGTTTATTGGCAAAAAAAATCTAAAATATCCATAAAATGTTTTTCTATTTAATATAATATGTTTATGTCTATTTAAAAAGTCCAAACAAGATTGCATCCTCCTTTGACTTTGTTCCGCACTTAGTTTTTGAGTTTTACAAAATTTAAATGCATTAGCCCAGAGAAATACCTGTCTCTTCATATGCATATGATGTGCTTCATAGGATCCTAATATGTTTGCGTTATTTTCCTCATTTAAAACATTATGATTCCGGCATACCTTTTTAGCATTTAATACGTTACCGTTTTCTGCAAATTTCTTTGCCAGCCTCGGAAGTATCTGTTTTGAAGAAGTCTAATCAACTGCTAAACAATAATTCAACAATCATTCAACCATCAACTTTGTTTACTAATAAGTCAAACATAAACATATTTTTATTTGTCAGTTATGGCACTCTTTATATAATTGTATAAAAATGTCCTATTTTTGCCGATTTGTCAAAAACCAGCGGACTAAAATATAAAGTGTGTCACATCATTGTAATCAGAATAAGATATTTTATGAAACACCTATATAATATGCAGGGTGTTTCATTTAAAAAAATGTGAAACAGGCTTATATGTCAGAAAATTGATAGTGTTTTGTTTTATGCGTCTCTTGGAAGGAAACTTGGCTACTAACCTTACATTTTGTTTTTTTGTTTACTTTGATATGTAACTATTATTGATTGTTATAAACAAAAGGGTAGTGGAATTGACAGGTCATAATCATCGAGAGTTGAGGAACCAACCATAGCGAAGATTCTGTGCAACAACTCTGGCAAAATTTTAGCATAGCCAAAATTGACATTAGTTAATATTTATATGTTTATTCAGATGTGAATAAAGAAAATAGAATTGCAGTATATAATGAAGTAACGTTTCTTTTGAATTTAATTTTTTCACTCCCGATCACGATTTCAGAGTTTATTTAGCAAAGATTTTTTTACACTTGCTAAACACAAAACTGTTAATATATTAATTAATATTAATATTAATAATTATATACGACGATATTCAAATTACCAGAAAAAAAATCCGTAAATGCAATTTAATATCTGTTAGTGTGAATCACGCCCTTGTAACAATCCTAGCGATTATCCTGCCATTCGTCAAATTAACTTAATCGCCGATAATGATAAACATCAAAATAAACCATTAAGTGCGTTGCCGCGAGTAAAATAAAAACAAATCGTGTAAAGAGGTGACTACCATTTTGGTTTAACGACTCCGACTGTTTAAACAACAATCAGCCTAATGTACTTGATAGATAATGGTATTTTACCTGTTCAGAAATGACCTGTTCACTACAGTCGTTTGTGTATAATGGCATTAAGCACGTGTAAAGACTAGAAAGTTAGCCGTATCATGCTGTCAGAGATCATTAATAATAAATTTAGCTTTATGCGGCTTTGGAGAGTTCTTCTTCTTTCATTTGTCGCAATTTCGTCGGACGTTGCTTTTCACACGTCGTCAAATGGTAAAAGTCGCGTGGCAATGTTATAAGACAAGTGGAAAAAGGACCATACGTGATGAATACTTCAACATTATATTATAAGGTAACCTAGGAACTACTTGACCAACTTAAAGCTATCCAAAATTCTGGTCTGGAAAACATTTTTTTAAACCAAGAAAAAGCATTTTTTTGGATTTCATCTTTAGCTGATTTTAATTAATGAAAGTGTTCTACTATTAAGCAATCCCATTATTTTTTGTGAAACTTGCAGAGAGATAAAGAAAACATCTTTTTTGTTACATGACAGTCGTTCGGTTCATTCTGTTCCTAATAGGAATTTTACTTAAAACGATTTTATTACTTTGCAAGGTAACCATTCAAATTGTAATGACAAAGATAATAGACTATGCATCACAAAATGTTATTTTAAATAACAATTTCGACATGCTATAGATTTGAAACGAATTTAGGTCGTGAAGGAAATCTCCTTTTTGTGTTAAATGGAGATAACAGAGCAAACATCTTCAAACTTTTTTTCTGTATTACAAAATTAACCCTGTATGTGGGTGTCAAAATATAATGAATAACCCCTTACTTCCAAGTAGACAAAGTATTGAGGGACGCAAAATATGGGTTACAACCATTACTGGAAATACGTACTTACAAAATGAAATGAATACAGGGATTGTCTATCACCACCTGTTAGACACCATTAATAATAATTTAACTTTATGCGGCTTTTTATTTGGTTCGGTGCGAGTTTGACGCTTCCCGCGTGTCCGATTGTGCCTTTCACGCATCCTCAGGTGTAGATTTTTACGAAAGCCGACATTTTTTCCTATAGTTCATTGAGTAATGTTAAATATGGAAGTGAACGTCGAGTGTATTTGCGGTGGGTGTATATCCGCCGCGGCCACCCACACGCGTACTATAATTAGTTGCAAAAATATCAAGGAAGCCGATACTTTCCTTAATATGTTAATTGTATTGCGTACGAGGTGTGTTCAAAATGTAAGGCGAATTTTAAGTTTTATCAAAATCATTGTTGTCCCCTTCAAGCTAATCCCTCCCAGATATAATAATGCACTTTTATTCCAATTCTCGAAGCACTTCTGGTAAGAACTTCCTTTCATAGGTTTTTTTGAGTTTAGGGAACCGGAAAAAGTCGCAGGAGGACATAACCGGTGAATATGGTGGCTGAGGCACGACTGTGGTTTTTGCTTTTGGTCAAAAAGTTAGACACAAGCAACGATGAATTGTTTTCCCACATTTTCTTCATATTTCTTCTCGCAAGGGGCGTATAACTTGAAGGTAATACTCTTTATTGACCGCGCGACCTCGTGGTAAGAACTACTGATGTACTACGTCACGAAAAATAATGAAAGAACGTGTCAGTCAACAGTGACCAAAAGCTTGACTCGATTGAACTTGACGTGCTTTTTTCGGTCTTGGTGATTCTGGATTCTTCCACTGGGACAACTGGGCTTTGATTCGTCACCAGTTATGACTTTTTTGAGCAAATCAGGATCTTTGACGTCACTTGACAGCTCTTGAGCGATGCTCCTTCGGCGGTCCTTTTGTTAAAAATTGAGCATTTTCGGAACAACTTTTGCTGCTACAGGTTTCGTGCCCAAAACGAGCCCATAGAGATGCCGACGTCTTCAGCCACTTCTCTAATGGTGATGCGACGATATTTCAAACAGTTTGTACCACTTATAAACATTTTTTTGCTTATATTATAAATGATCACCAGGTATAACACGACCAAAAATATAGTGAATTTATTGCTTTGACGTTGTAAGTATTTTACAGTACCTTAACCACAGACTTTCGAAGGACCAAGGTAAAACCCATCCCAAAAGATGTTTGTTCGGCATTAAGTAGGTCTTTCCCGGGATGGACCATTTTAAATTTAACTTAACATTGATGCTGCGGGGTATTTTCGAATGAGTAGAAGCGTTTATTTTAACGTCGGGTGATAGGTTCCTGTTTTTGAACACTTTAAAATGTGAAGATAGTGGAATTAAGCAGATTTTTCCCTGTTAGAAAGAGCTACGGAAAACAACGCAGAACTTAAAGACGAAGGAGAGATGGTAGCCGAACCTAATGAAAATTTATAAGACGAACTACCTCAGCATATAACTGCTGAACAAATTGTTTTGAATGTTTCGAATTTTATAATAAATTCAGAAGGGGAAGCAGGAGCAGCAATAAAAACAAGTGACATGACCAGAGTTCCGAAGTCAACTGTAAGGAAAAT